TCATTCAACGTCCGCTGGCACCATAATCGCGAGACAATTAAGCACATTGCAAACGATAGAGTTGTTGTTCCAACGACATGTTTATTTCATATGCGGCCTACACGGCTCAGCCATGTTAGGGGTATCTTATCCTTGCCGCTAGAATAGGGAAATGAGATGGGTAGTTCATCCGCTACCAAATACCATACACCATAATAGCCCCCATTGACATTCCAGAACCACTCCCCTTTTTACCTGCCCGTCCCAAAAGGCTGGGGCCCTGAATGAACTACGTCCTTTTGTAGTCTCCAACAACGCCCCATGCCCGTGGCTTTGGAGGGGCCAGCCGAATCCATCCCAATGGTATCCTGCTAACAATGTCCTCTAAGTAGAAATGAAGAAGAAGAAAACAGAACCGCGCAAGGTAGCTAACTAAGCGTAACAATTTGCTGAATACCCTTCTCCCTAAAAGCACAAGAAGTGCGAACTTCCCGGATTGCCGATACAGGTTGTCTATCAAAATCGTCCAGTCCGGATGTCGTGCGCTAAAAGAAACACGACACCCATGACTCCTTCCGGGGTAGGAGACTGGAAAAGTCTCCGCATATGTCCAGAAAGCACAACTCATTATCGTGTCCCGACCCTACAAAATTCAAAACGCCCGCGGGTCTCACCCGGGCCGCACAGCCATGGTCGGCACATACATGATTCGTCCTGTAAATGGTATAAAGATGCTTGAAAATATGAAGATTAAGGAGCAGAGCTCGCGACAGCCTCTGCTTCGGGTATAAACTTTTCCGCTGCCAGAAAGTCGACCTAAGCAGTTGCAGAAGCAAAGAAGAAAAAGAAATGGAAATAAGAAGCCAATCATATCGATACAGCTTTCAATCTGAGTTCCAAGTGCAGAAACAACGCTCGCTCTAATGAAACCGTGCAAAAGTGAAAAACAAAAGTGCGTCGCTTCGTCAACTCGTCATTGTCGTTGCAATTCGATTTAGGTAAACGGAATGCGGAACTGCTCGAACTCGTCCGCCTGGCTACGAGCATAGGAGTCGGTCCGGCTTTCGGATCGATCACGGATAGCTGGTCGGTCCATGCGGCTGCGGCGTTCATCGGAGTAGACGGTATCCCTATCGCTACCACCAGCAATGCGTGCTGCCTGGCTGATGTTGATTTCGCCGCCATCCTGGCACTGAATCTCGGCGTTGCCAACTCGCAGGACGGCGTGACCCGTAACCTTGATGGTGATGTCGTCGCCGTCAATGGCAGAAGACCGGGTGGTCCGCGTGGTGGCGCTTCGTAGGAAGTCGCTTTCGTCGCGGCTGTCGCTACTTCCACTGGACCTGCTGCTCTTGCTCTTCTTCCCAGCCTTCGAGAGGGCCGCAGCAGTCAAAGGCACACCGCCGCCGCCGCTTACGCCGTTCTGGTAGGCCATAGCAGCAGCCTCGGCGGAGTCATACTTGGACTGCGAGTAGCTACCGCTTTCGCCGCCAGCCATGTACGAATGGCGGCGGCTACTGCGGGCGGGCGCGGGAGCAGGAGCAGGTTCGATCTGATATGCGCGATGGCTGTACGTGCTGGAACCCCTTCGGTGACCACGGGGCCTGGCAACAACGCCGTCGTCATATTGGTAACCATGGGGAACGATTTCCTGGTACATGGATTCTTCGCCATCGAAATCATCAGAGTCATAGCCCTGAGACATGATCTGTCGCTGCTGGGGATGAGGTTGAGGCGGGGGACGGAAAGCCTGCTGAGGGGCAGTCGTTCGTGAGCGGGGGAACGGCGGCGGCGGCATCAAGTCGCTGTCTCTGTCTCTGTCCCGAACCTTGAGAGATGGCCGTCTGCCAATGGGGATATTCTCTTGCTCATAGGTAGGGCCGGGTCCATGTGGGTGGGCGTGGGCGTGGACAGGGCTAGGATGGTATCCGTAGTTGTCGTACTCGAAGGTAGACGCTGACATGGACCGGTGTCCCATGGCCGACGAAGGCCTCTGTTGGAAGCGTTGGGCCAGGTTTGAGTGTCGGGGGCTGCTCGCCACAGGGGTAGGCGGAAAGTAATCGTTCGACGGCGGCGGAGGCGGATGGTGCGGCGCCTGCATAGGGTAAGGAACACTTCCGGGGCCCCAGGGGCCTGGCGATTGGGTGTACGAGGCGCCAGGTGCGGGTGCGAACGGCGACTGCACATGCGGTGATGGGTGGATGGGAATCGGCATAGGAGCGGGAGTAAAGGGCGACGAGGCATGAGAGGAAGGCGGTGCGTGGATCGATGGTGCAAATGGCGATGGGTTCGGGGCCGGAGTGAAGGGCGAAGCGTTGTTCGCGGCATGCCATTGCTTATTGGAGGTAGGTGGTCGGGAGCCTTGGCCGTAGTAGCTGGCAGGGCGACTTGAAGCTCGGGGACGCGCACCCTGTGCCTGTGCCGGCTGCTGTACACCGTACTGCGAGGATTCTTCTTCCGTAAAACGTGGTCTTCTGTATTCATCTGGCTTTTGGGCGGTCTTCTGGGTGTGGACGACGGGGGCCGTGTTGACGTGCTTTGTGGAGGGACGGGTTGCGGACTTCTTGGCGGCGGATCGCTCGCGCTTCTGGTGACGCTCCTCTCGTTCGCGCTGCTCCTGCTCGAGGCGTTCTTGTTCGCGACGTGAAGCCTTTTCCTGCTCCTTCTTGAGACGGTGTCTTTCCTCTCGACGACCCTGCTCTCGGGCGGCCTCGTCCCTTGCGGCCCTCTCGGCGAGCTTCTCGGCGGCTCGATCAGCAGCTTTTTGTTCAGATCGTCTCTTGTCCCTCACTTTCTTGTCCGGGATAGCGGGGTGAACGGTATCGTCCGAGTCGGTGTGGCCGTATTGCGGGGAGGCGGAGATTGGTCTCGTCATCCTGTCCTTATTGCGAGATTTGCCGCTGTTTGCCTTCTCTCTTGATGGGCTTCCTGGTGCGTGTGACTGGGCATACTTGTCGGAGCCCTGGATAACGGAGCCAGTCTCCTCGTCGACGTCTTCGCAGTGGGCAACAATCTTCCTAGGGGCCATGATGAAGCGGTGTCGATCGTCGTAATGGGCTATGGTGTGTTCGTGTTGGCTCGGTAGTCGAGCGACTGGTGATAAGAGGCAAAGGTGCCTCGACAGAGGCGAGCAATCGTAGGTTCGTAGCAAGTGATCGAAGGTGTGGTGAACTGGGGGGAAAGAACTTGGCTGCGGTGGGAATCGGGAACTTTTTTGTATAAAGGGCGGATGAGAAAGGCAGTGGGGATGCGGAAGGGGATGCGACCACTATCTGATGGAGGGAGGGCCCGTATTTGTGGGGATGAAAATCCGACCAGGATGAGGGGGGCGTGGAAATTGGGTGTGGGAGAAAATGAGACGCTGCGGATGCTGGTGCTGATGCTGGCTGGTGTGCGAGGGCGGCCAGGTTACTCGTTGTTCGTTGTTGGCTACCTAGGTTGTCAGAAGATAGTTGAGGTATTATGGATCGTCAGGAGAAGCGCGGACGAGGGAGAGAGATGATATTTGTCGAATCTGTTGTTGTGTTTCGTTGTATACAACGTGGGATCGATAATAATCCAAGAAAACGGCGGCTGACCGTGGCCGTGGGCGGGCTGTGGACGAGCGTGCTGTCTTATTAATCCTGCCCTGCCTACCTACCTCGCCCGACCTATGCTTTGCATTGCAGGTAAGGTACTTCGTTCGTACGGATAGGACAGGTAGCGTGAGTGCGTGCAGTTGCAATTGTAGTGTAATGACTGTTGCGCCGTGGGAGGAAGAGTCCGGAGCAAAGGGAGGGGAGGGCGAGCGAGGTGTGTGCGCAGCCCAGCAACTCATTCGCAGCACCACAAGTGAAAAAATAGCCTACAGAAAGGCCAATCGCGGGGACGGCCCTGAATTTGACGACCCGATGGAGGGGTGTGGTCACAGCAAAAAAAGGACCTGACAGCGGATGAGGTCTTCTCGTTGCCCGGGGTGCTCTGCCGCTCGTCCAGTGTCACTCCAATGACCGGCCAGCGCTCGATGATAGCAAGCACTACAACTGCCTCGAGTGAAGGAGGAGGGGCGTGTGCCTGAGTCCGCAAATGGCTGTGAGAGCTCTGATGGATCTAGAGACTTGGCTCCGGCTTTGATTCTCGACTATCCGAGGCGGACGGGAGCGCTGGAACGGACTATGGTTTGCGGGAGACGGAGGACAGGCCTGTAACGTTAGAGAGAGACGGAGAGGCAGACAGAGAGGGTGTGCGAGGAGATGGGCTACTGGTGCTGCCCAGCTTTGCAACGTCTCTCCCAAGTTGCACAGTCGAAATGCCAGGGTCTGTGACTGTCAAGAACGTGTGCGAGTCTGGAGAAGCATGGGACCCAAGGAGGACAGGGAATTTCTTTGCTGTCGTCACTTCTCCCTGTCAAACTGTATCGAAATCGCCTAAAAATGGGTGGAGGACAGAGATTGCCGGCTTGTGGGAACTTTTTTTTTTTTTTTTCCTTCCTGGCGCTCGCTGGGTCCTGGGAGTCGGGATTCCTGGGTGGGAAAACTGCGACAACCCACATCAGAAACAAGCTAGAGCTAACAGAATAGCCTCAAGCTCCACCGCGTGGCAGCAAGGACCGTCGAAAGGACTCAGCTAAAGTCTGCTGGACCGACGTCGAGCCAGTTCGTCTCGTTCCAGGAAGCTTCTGTTGGCTGTGGTTCATCCGCAGCACCGGCGTCAAACCAGGGAAACCCCTTCGACATAGCATTTGACCGCAAAGTTGGGAACTGGGCGGTCCCCTGGGGCTCTGATGTTGGTGCTTTTCGTTGGCGCCGGTGCCAATCGTCGCCGCTTCGGGTCAGAGCGCCAGAAGCACTCAGGCCCAACTGTGGAGAAGCCCTTGTCTTTCGTTTCTTCCCGTCCACGACCGTTGCAATGGATTTTCCCTCGAACGGGGGTCAAGAGCCTGGCAAGGCCTGCTGGGGTGTTGCGAATCCGTGGACGCCGCGCCCACAAGGAAGCTCTTCACAGCACAAAGTGCCCCAACCTTGAACTTTCCATTTAGATCGATGTTCCGTTACCGTCGTAGCGCTGACGTTCGTGTACGCCGCCCATGTGTTGCGATGCCAGACAGCAGAGCTGCTTTGCTTGTGCGAGTGTCCGACCAAGGGCTTTTTCTGCGTTGTGCCCCGATGGCATTGTTTCCTTCTTCGTGCCGCCATTGAACTCTCGAATGCGACAGCCACCCCTTCCCTCACGCTGGCCTAGGTACTAATTACCTACGGAGGCCCTAGAACACCTAGGTACTCGACGGGGGTGTGGCCACAGAAGAGAGGGAAACAACGCTTTCTGAGTCTTCTGCCAGTTGTCTGAATGAGACAGGATGGGCCGGCTCCCTTGGGCTGCGCTGCGCTGCTAAAATCTGGCTGGTGGAGGGAGTCTCCGTGTGCGCGGGAGATCCACCTCCAGGGCCGAACCAGGCGGGGGTGTCACTCAAAGATGACGGAGCGTTGCTATCTGGTGCGTTGTGCCCTTTTCGGCTGGGATTTTTCGACTTCTCCATCAAATGGCTGGATTTACTGCCCGACCTTGTGGCTGGGTTTGGCCTTTGGGTATCAACAGCGAAGCGGGCTGACGAACGACACCACGAGCATCCAATCGTTTGCCGCGCTCTGCGGCCTGCCAGACCTTTTTTCTCTCTTCTTTTGACCAAAACGTGTTTTCGTCTTCGGTTAAGATATTTGGGGGTGGGCGAGAAAAAGAAACAAAAGGAAGGTTCTCAGGATTGGTGAGGTGATCGACCGAGAGACAGTCCCTAGTCTGATGCGCGCCCCATGAGGTGGTCGAGGTGGTTGACGACTCGGAGCTTGCGCGACCCAAACATCAGGAGACGTTTACTGTACTTTCAAAAGTTTCGTTGTCATCCTGGGTAGCGTAGGTAGGCAACCGGGCGCCTTCAAATGGTTGACAAGCTTGAAGCAAAGTCTGCACATAATGCAGAACTAACCCCATCGCCCTTCGGCACCGCATCGCCAACGCACTTGTGCCGGAAAGCCCAATCATGGGCCCGACCCACCCGGTCAGGAATGCAGATTCATGCAGTCCGGGCCCGCTCGCTTTTCTCATAGGGCGGGGCCGGGACGGCAATGGGAGTCATCGCTCCATCTCGGACTTGAATGGCTGCTGTCCGTGGCCAACTTGTCCAAGCACAAATTAGTCCCTTGCAATTGTTGAACGAAGCCATGTAAGATGGCATCACGATGCTGAATTCCTGCAGTGTTGCCCGTCTAGATCTGTCTCCCCGCGTCTTGCTGTCTGTAGGGTATGCGTCTGATAGAGCTGCGTACGGATATCTTGGGGTACGATGCCCTGGTCCCTCTTTAGTAGGTACCGATCTCGCTGCAAGAACGACACTGTTTGCAGGAATAGCGTCACCGCGGTACACGGACTTGAGATCGACATCATGTTGTTGTTGTGGTCAAGTCACTGGAGTTTGTTCTCAATGTGACTCTGAACGACGTGTCGCCATGACAGCGTTGTTCTCGCCTCTTGGGTTTGTGTCTCGAAGTCGCAGGTGGTCTCGAACTCCGCACTATCAGCTCCGATAGGACCATCCACATCAGCCAGATGATGTACTTCAAATTCTCCAATTGTACTGTACTGAAATGTCTCCCCCTCCATTCTTCCGCGTAGAAGTAGATTGCCGCGGTCTGATGCCGTCGCAGTACTCCAAGTCTGAATCGTCCAAAGGCAAGGTGACATGAAGAAACATGTGCGATTCACAATTTGCCTGGCTGGCGCCTAGACCGTCCTCCACACGCTGTGCGCAACTGCGTATTCCGGCTGCATGACATGCACCCATCCCACAGGCATCATCACCGTATACCAGCGCCCGCTGTGCATAAAATCCGTCTAGCGCGAGGACATGCCGAAATGGGTTCGAGTGAGGCCCTCCCGGAGCCTCTCGTGGCTCCGTCTTATCGAGGAAGCTAGTCAAAGTTGGTTTTATCCTCGTTGAGAAGTGGAGCATCGTCGCATCCAAGGTAATGAACGGGTCGCTAGGATCCTCGGTTCGGTATCTTGCGGAGAATGGATGAGCTCTGTATTGAGCTCGTTTGCAGTCAAGTGCCTCCGACCATCAACGTTTGAGTCTCTTTGTGTTTTGTGCAGAGCTGCCGCACCAGTCAATGACCACGGTCAAAGACATCGTCATTACGAATTGTATGCAGAGAAGCATAGTTTGTGTGATTAGAAATGCGGAGGCCGAGGATACGGTTCTGACGAACGTCTTCAAGTGTATGTATCCATCCAGATCTTCAGATCTGATGCACGCCACGGTTGCATTTGTTTAGCAATTTTGCAAATTATCTAGTATGGCGAGCCCGCCATTTGTCCGATATGCCACTCTTGCACGCTCGAACTGCATGAAGCCGAGAGCGGACGCTGCTGCAAAGACGCGATGGACTGACAAGTCGACATATCCGAGGCGGACAGATCGATAGGCGGTTGTTGGTTGTGGAGCGAGGAACTCGACACCATCTCGGAGCCACACCGCCTTTTCGCTTGAGGCATAATCCCTCAACGCCACCGTTGAAAGCGATCCCAACGCGCCACAGTGGTAGGTAGAACACGACTTGGCCTGCCGCATTGAAGCCGGGTGACAGAGATAGGACAAACGTATACATTATAATACGCAGCGATTCCGGAAGGTAATACCGTTGTGATCGTACCGTGTGCGAACGCCATATCGACTGACTTTGGAGGCTTAAAATGACGCAACGCCACTCGTCGTTGGCCGTGTACATCGACTTGTCGATAGCCTGTTGCTGCGAGATCCTATCACTCAATGCCGAGCGGTTGTCCAGCTCCTGCGCGCCTGCCGAATTCATTTGACGTCGAGACCTTGGAATGCTGGAGATGCAGGGAGCTTGTCTCGGAGACTCGGGCAGGTCCCAGATCTGCCTCTCCTACGCCGCCGATTTGCGTGACGTTGCACGGGGGTCCACGATTCTGAATCCAAGCCACGATTGACGTGTAGTATTGTTTCAGAAGATATTGCTGGCCGTTCGTAAGACAGGAATCTCAACGTCGGCGACGACTGGCCTATGGTCAGACAGATAAACGCCGTCATCGAACTTGTTCGATAGCACGCCAAATGTCTTGATGGTAGCTGGGCTCGGATCCTTCACAAACAAAAAGTCGATTCTCTTCGGCTTCTCATCAGGCTCGTCAAACGACGTGTACGTGATATCGTTTCCGTATCGCTTCGCTTTAGGAACCTGGGTTGAGACATCGACCATGCCTGACTCCGGCGCCACCATTGTCTTGTAGGCATTGTCATCCGGGGTACTGTTGAAGTCACCCGCGAGCAGGACGGTTGTCGGAGGTTTTCCGTTTGCTCCTTTGCTCCACTCTCTAGCAACGTTGAGAAGCAGTTTGGCGCTCTGCTCTCGAGCCACAACTCCTATATGATCGAAGTGCGTACTCATGACAACGATACGCGAGTCTGTTTGTTTATCGAAAAACTCCCCGACGGTAACAACACGGTTCAGTACGGCATCCCATCCTCTAGATGGCTTTTCTGGTGTCTTGCTCAACCAAAGGGTTTCATTCCGCACGCACTGCCAACGTCCAACCTGGTAGAAGACGGGTGAGAATTCGCCACCTCGCTTGCCGTCATCACGACCGAGACCTATATGTCCCCAGGCAGGACCGAGGTAAGACTGGATGTCTTCAAGTTGAGAGTAGAGGACTTCTTGCAGACAGATGAATGCTGACTCGTGGCCAGTCGTGAGGAAGTCCAACTGGTTGCAGAGTTTCGGTCCCCGAAAGCTCCACGGTCTCTCATTGGGAGTGGGTTTCGTTGTTGCATACCGGGCGTTCTGGCTCACTAGGCGGAGCACCATAGAACTTGCCGCTGCCGACTTTGTGTTTTCAAGCTTGACGAGCATGATGACTGCGCAATAGACGATCAATCGAGCTGTGAGAGAACTTGAGATGTGTTGTACAAACAAACTTGGACAGCGGGAGCTTGACAGTAGGCCGGGGCCGTGCGCCTTAGCTGCGGAGACTAGAAGTTGACGGCAGAACGCCCAGGGGAAGGTGATGAGCGCGAAGAGCAACAAGAAGTCGGATGGGAAGGAATTTGATGAGTGTTCCCTGACTCGGCAATATACTGAGATGATGAGGTGCTGTTGGATGAATTGGATCGTTGACGTTGGAACAAAGCTGAAGCTCGCTTTACTTGAGATGGAAAGAGCAGGCATCCTCCTGCCCCATCTCCTGCCCTGCGGCTGCCCCAGCACCTGCCCGCCCCGGCCCCCGGCTGGCAAGTGGGTCACGTGCTGGTTCTGGAACCTGGCGGAGAAGGAAGCAACGGCCATGGCCCAAGCTCCTGCATTCTTTGGCGATCCGGGGTCTGCTGGGCAAGGTAAGAAGGTATTTTCGCCTCCCCCGGATCTTCCTCTTGGAATTCCAAGCTGAGCAGCCAGCCCATTTTCGGTCCCTACCTTACATGCCTACCAACCAACCAACCAACCTACAGATATCGGCGCAACCACCACGATCCTACCGCTTAGATCAGCCTCGAAACATACGGTAGTGGATTCACGCTACGGACCGTGGCAAGAAGACAAATTGAGACGGCGGGTTTCCAATCTGTCAAATTTCACATTGGGGCCTGGCATTCCTGCTGATGCCTTCACCGCTAATTGATGGCGCCAGTATCTGATGGAATGCCTTGCAAACGTCCATCTTCCCAGTCACCAGTCTTTTGCGAGGTAGCTCGAAAGCTGTCACACACTCCCACGGCCCCCAAGCCTTATCTCCGCATTCTCGTTGGAAGCGCGACCAGCCCTCCCTCCATCTCAACGTCCCGAGACTCTGAATGGCGTTCTTACGTGGGAATAGCAGCTAGGTAAGGTAAGCTGGCGCAGACAATAGTCCAGTCTCACTGCCTTGCGGGTCGATTACTCACCATCTTAGGATAATTAGGGCAGCCTGGTGTCAGACGATCCATCCAGGCTTTCCCAAAAAGCCGGCCTCTCCCAGCAAGCGTCTTTGCGCGGCGGGCTGATACCAGCACGACGACCCACAAACCAGTCACGTTCTTATCACGGCCCGCTGCCCGACTTCATTTTTCGAGACGTGATTCAGGCCTCATGGGATGGCAGCGGCTATGGTTCTAGGAGATGTTCGTCCGCTCTTGTCAAATCCAAGTCATGACGCAATGTGTACACAGTCGGGCAACCAGCTGACTTGTTTTAAGTCAAGACAGGACCTTGGAAAGAAACCAGGGTTATTCGGACAAACTATCGACATTTCCACTTCAATACGGGCCTCATTCGAGCTGCTTCGTATTTCGCGAGGTTTCGGGGGTTTTCTCGGAGAAGTCAGGAAGGTTGGAGAGGTCAGAGGCCTCATAGCCGTAAGACGAGTGTGCTGCATGCCCATCTCGCAGCGGTTCATGCACCGTGGCGATCTTCCATTTCTGAGGCTGAGGGTGGTGCAGGATTCGGATGGGCGACTGGCCGAAGCGAGGGTGCGAGCAGCAAAGGCTCCCGACTTCACCGAGGAATCATCGGAATTTGGCTGCCTTTTGTCCAATCTGCAGTGCGGTGTGAGGCCGGTCTGTCGAGCTGACTCAAATGCGCCACTTGGAGGCGTCATGCAAGGTACGCCAGCCGCTCTAGCAAGCGTGGGAGGGCGATCAAAAACTTGTCCCTTGGCCAGTCTAGTCGACAGCTGTCTTGCACATTCCTTGCTTGCAGGTCCATGGCCTCGAAAATGCGCACCGGTTAAGCGACGGTGGTTTTGCACACTGAGGGAATCGGCACGTTCGGTTGGCGCTATGGTGGGCAAGGTAGTCATCTGCCTGACTCGGCCTCCAACCAATACGTGTGGTGGTTGCAAATCTGTCTCAGCTTATTCATATAAGCCGCGGTAGTCGCGCGCCGGTCGACACACCCACACGGAGGAACGCGAAGCAACCAAAAGACCGGATTTCCTTGCGGTCTGCCAGGAATTGTGATAGATTTCAATACGAATCCCAGCCTGGTGCCTCAGCTTACCACCATTTCCGGATGCGTATCTCTGCTTCTGGCCGCACCCCGGCCATTTGGAGACACTGCACAGCTTTTTCCCAGACACTCATGGCGGGTGAGGAGTCACGCTCCTCATAGGCCTCTTTCACGTGGGGGTTGATGGTGGCTGGCTGCCCCGCGATATTGAGACCTCTGCACTGGGCAATGGGCACTGGTGACCACCATCTTCCAGCCATACAAGGCAGCTCTTGGCTGGGTTAATGTGACTGAGCCGAATCACCAGCCAGCCTGCAACCTTGTCGGTGTGCGTGCGTGCTTGCGTGTGTGGGTGGGTAGGTGAAGGCAGTGTCGGATAACGTCCGCCTTGCACATCCTCTGCCTGGCTGAGGCTGCGATGGAAACATATAAGTACGAGTACACCGCCTCGCCTCCAGCTCGTGTTCCTTCACCTCGGTCTGTCACGTTTTACAGCATCATATCATTGCTGAAACCACAGACAAGATCAAGCTACTTGCCGCTTCGTTTGGTATACTTTTGAGCCGGCGCAGACCGGCGAGGACTTGACTCGTCTTGTCAGTGATTTTACTGTTCAGACGCCTGTTTCCGCAACTATCAAGACCAATACACAACCAATACCAATTTGACAAACAACCGGCGCGATGCCTCAAACACCAAAGACACCCTCACGGCGAGACTCATGGCCACCAACCCTGGTGCGCCTCGCCCCTACAATTCCCAAGGACTACCCATCTCTCGACGACATTGACGAGGACCCCTTGACCTACTTCCTCACACCCGCGCCCGATCTGGAGGATGACGACGAGGACGACATGACCATGATGGACTTTGACGCCGGCATCGAAGACGACAGCGAGCGCGAGATCGTCCGCAGCGTGAGCCCCTCAAGCCTGGACGGCCTGGACAAGTCAAAGGGCCGTAGCAAGTCGCCGCCTGTACCCGACCTCTCGGACCTCGCCACACCGGACACGGACGACGAGGAGGAAGACTACATCCGCTTCGCACCACACGGCTTCATGATCCCCTTTAGCCTGCGCGACTTCGCCATCGACGGCCTCAAGTCTATGGCCAAGTCAAAGTCCCGCCCTTCTAAGCAATCACCGTCGGAAAACAACGTGCTTCTCTCGCCGTCGTCATTCCCGCCTACCCGGGGCCGAGCACCTGTGCGACCAGGCGGCGGGCGGGGCCGGCAGAGGACGACGTCGTACCGGCACCACCGGCCGCAGCATGTCTGGCGCGAGCCGAGCCCGGACGTTTGGTCTATTGAGGAGGAGACGGAGGAGGAGCTCCTGAGCGAGATGGAAAGCAGCGTCGGCGCCGTGAGCGACATGGAGGAGGACGAGAGGGAGGAAGACGCGACGGCGTGTCCGGACAAGAGCGGAGACGTACAGGCTGCGAAGCAGAAGAAGAAGGTCCGGTTCCTGTTGCCCTCTTTGGAGTGAGGGACTGGTGATTTTCACAAGCATCAAGCATTTCACGGCGTTCCTGGGGTAAAGCATATTCTATCTGCATTGGGAGGTTTATCGTCACTTTTTACTTTCCTATCTTCTTTTCCTTCCTCTCTTTCGGTATACGCCGCCCTCTGGTAGGAGGTTATTTCTAACAGCATGCATGGGTGTATGGGAGTTTTGCACAATACCCGTCAATTTGGATGGTAATTTGGGTCTTGGAGCATTTCTTCCAATTTTTTCAAAGGATGTGGCACACGGGCATCTTTGGAGGGGGGCCATATGGGAATTCGGGGCACACACACACAGATTTTTAGGTGCATAATTGGAAGCAACCGCTATGAAGGGCGGAATAAAAAACCCTGATCTACACTTTTTCGCAACCTTCATCTTCTCGTCTCTAGTGTGAGGTGTGCATGCCTACTGCGCGGTTAATGAAGTTTGACGGGTGACAAGAAAGATGCAGGACGTTGCGTGACTGACGGCTCTCTAGTTTGAGCAGCTGAGTCTGCTTGCAGATAAGGCGAATGTCAAGGCGAGAGGGGAAAAGAGTGGTGGTGGTGGTGGTGGTGGTGATACCCTAATTGCAGCACCGCTCGCACGCTTCTCGAATTTCTCGCAGAAAATTCAAGGTTTACTTCCGCCTGATGGTAGCTTGCGGGTAATGAAAATGGAAGAAACCAAGGTGTAGAGGAATCGTTCTGTGTTGTGTGATGCTAGATCTCGATCGCGGGACCCACGCGATAGCCTCGAGCTGGATAAAACAAGGTCCTGCGGAAGGTCTTGCGGAGGAGGAAGGTCTCACTTTCGGAGTCTCGAGTCTCTGCAGGGAGGGAGGGAACTCGGAAGGGCGAGGAGGACGAGTAGGGCGGTCCCACACCACGTGCGACGACTGCGCGGCGGGCGGGAGAGACCGCGTGATGTTCGGGGCCCGTATGGCTTCTCGCTGCTACACTATGCGATACGCCCGAGACATTCCGCGGGCGCTGTCATATTCACTGCGTATGTGTGCGTGGTTTGGTAGCGATTTTGGGTTATTGGATAAGAAAACAGGGCATGATGGTTTGGCTGCCTTGGTTTTGGACCTGTAAGACTACGGATATAATAACGAGAGCAGAAGGATGGGAAATTCGGAATGAGATTGTAGAAAGACCGTGGGGGAAATAAGTCGGGGCCTTGATTTTTGTGCTATATGAGAAGTTGTTATCGCGAGTAAACAAACGGGTTGCATGTCCCGGATTCATGGGGCCCCTGTCGAGAAGATGAGGCGGCGTCAATGCTCTTCCCCTCCCCCGCCGCCTGTTACGACTGACAGTTTGGCAGTGACAACGACGGCGACATGGGGCGAGGATGATAAACATGCGCTTCGTACGGAGTTTACTTACCTATCAACCACAGTTTCAAGGATGTCCCCGTTGTCGTCGTGTTGCCTGGCAGTGATGA